ACAGAACTTGCTGTTGGTACTGATGAAAACCCATTAATTAAAGATTCATTGGTCAGGGAAGTTTATAATAAGTCCAGAAAATTTTCTGTTGGAGAAAAAATTACAGACGATGAAATTGCTAATTTTTGTTTAATAAATGGCGAGCAGTTTTTCATTGGCCATGATTTTCAAGCAAATTGTGAGACGATGTTTTTTGGTTTTGAGAAGGCAATTCAATTTGCAAAAGAAGCCACAGATTTATTTTGCGATGGAACTTTTAAAATTACACCAAAACATTTTCAAAAAGGACAGATGCTAACAATTATGATTTGTGAACCTTCAACAAATCAATATCTACCACTTTTATTTATATTCATGAAAAACCGCACATTTGAATCTTATAAGAAGGCATTTGAATATATTTTTACTGTCAAGGGTATTCAATTTTCAAAGCTAATTCAAATTCATTGTGATTTTGAAAAGGGAATGATAGAGGCACTTCAACAAATTTTCCCTAAAGTCCGTATAATTGGATGCCTATTTCATTTCAAACAAGCTTTACACAGGAAACTTGTAGCACTTTATACAAAAAATTTCAATACTTTACAAAATTCTTTATTTAAGCTATATTCTATTACTCCATTCATGTCTCATGAAGAATTTGTACTTACAATGCATATAATTAATCAAAATAAAGTTGATTCGATCAAAGATTATATTGATTATTTCAACAAAGTTTGGTTGCCGCACTACAATTTAATATCTCAATATAATAATGCAACTGCAATATTCACTAATGATTGCCTCGAGAGTATGCATTCAGAATTTTCTTCGTTAAAACATCCAAACATTTATGAAGCTATTAAGAAGATATCTCAAATCCAATTAGATAAATATAACGCCATCAAAAATAACCAGAAGATCGAGCGCCATATAAAAACCGTTATCACCGATAGCTACAAAAATTATATTCTTGACTGCTTTCAAAAAGAACTTGAGAAAACAATTTTTTCTATCAAACAATACAACGTAAGTGATCTTTCTTTGGCTCAGAACGAGATTTCTCCATATGGTTCCATAGAATCGAGTTCATTGTTCGAAAATATTCCAGTTCATGATGCAGATATACTCAAATCGATCGATCTAACAGATAAAGATACAATAATCACTAAGTTTATTAATGAAAAAAGAGAAAAAATTATGGCATTATTTAATGAAACATTAAATCATCCAGATTTTAATTCATCCACTCCAATTCAAACTAATTTTGAGCAAGCCGATACAAATCAAGGTTCAGATGCTCCAATTCGCTCCGAAAATTCAAATATTGCAGACTCTACAGATTTAGAACCAGAAAATCAAAACCATCCTTCTACAAATCAAATGTCTAGTAATCTAGAACATAAGCTGGACCTTCTTGATCATATTGAAAAACAATTATCGAAAATGCGCTCGTTATTGGGAATTCTTCCTACTACAAATGCTATTGTTGGGCCGTCAAAACAAGTTTCAATTAATAGCAAGCAAAATTCTGAAAAAAATAAGAAAAAATCTTCCATAACAACAAAATCAAACAATAAAAAACAAAATTCATCCGACAATCCTCCTAAACGTAAAGCTCCTATTTCGGAAAGGATTCTCAGCGATAATAACTTATATTTTCAAGTTCATCGAAAGAGATCGAAAAGCAAACGTTCCACATCTACAGAGAAAAAGAATTGATATATGAAGTCTAATTCCTTTTATAACTACTATATTTTTATTCTTATGACTAAAAAATAATATATTATTTAACAATTTTCATTTTTTTCTTTTAACAATTTCGTTTTATTTCCATTTATTGTTAAATGATTTTTAGCATACACCTTTCTTTGTTCATCTTCTAAATACAATTTATTTTTTCTTAGATATAATTCTATTCATTCAATTCGATCGTCATTTTTCAGTACATGATCGTAATTTTCAATTATTGATCGCGATTTTACTTCAGAATTTGTTCGCAATATTGCTTATCAAAATTATATCTCTATTCTCTCATTTCTGTTTAGTCAATATCATTACACTCCTAATGTCTAATAACATGCTATTAATTTTCTTAAAATTAAAAAAAAATATCAACTTTTAAAAACAGAAACTTAACATCCTTAGGTCAATGGATTTTGATGTGAGATACATTTAATCTGTTTTTCTTTTTTTATTTTAAATAATTGAATATTTATAGTTGTTATGGGTCTTACATCATGTAAAACGAATTTTCTTAAAGTAAATTTACTTTTTCTTCAATCTTTCTTACATATTTATTAAAAAAATTATCCAAAAAAAGATGTTTTAGAATGAAAAAAATAGAAAAATCTTCATTTATAGTCTTTCTTGAATGTATACGTTTTGATTTTTTTCTTTTTTAAAAAATTCAATTTCTAGAAAAATCGAGAAAAAATCATTTTCTTCTATTTTTTAGGACGCCATACCCATTGAAATCTCTTCTCAGGACGCCATAAACTATTCAATTATGGTGTAAACTTCTCAAAAATTGAATAGTTTACATCAGGACGCCAACCCTTTACGCACCCGTTTCTCTTCAGAAAAATCCAATCATCAAATTTCAAAAAAAGTTGAAATTAAAATCATGCTGTCAATATAGATATTTTAATTTTATCATTCAAAGCGACAAAACTCTCTTTTTCAAAAACCGAATTATCCATTGAAAAAATTTAATGTTGAATTTACAAAAATATGAAGCAACTAACTAATATGTAAAAAATATGTATACCATAACTTTTCATTTGCTTAAATTTTCCATTATCTTATTCCAATAACTTACTAATGCTATTATGAATAAAAAATTTAGTTTAAACCATTTTCTACATTGAAATGGTTAAATAGGAACGCATTTTTTTGTATAAAATTCAGATGTTTACATTTATTTTGAGAGGGGACCCCTCTCAATTAATTTTCCGCGTCTCAATTTGTGCCCCTAGTATATCTGGACTTAGAGGTTAACATCTAATAACAAATTAATTTTTCATATAATATGGATTTATTTTGTTATCCTAGAATTTGACAGCTTACAAAATATGCTTATTTTAATGATATTTAGGATGCTCATTAAATGAACAATCTATATTCCCAGTATTGGAAAAGGTAGGTCAACAAAATCGTAACGATGGTTTCTTGATTTTGGAGTTTTATTACTGAGAAAAACCCGCTTGAAGTTGTTCATGAGAATTTTTTTTTGTTTTTGTTTGTTTGTTTTGTTTTGTTTTTCTCATCTTTCTGACATAGGAAAAGGGTAAATTTTTAGCATAAAACGATTGACATGGTTTGAAATTGGGTTCGTTTGGGGGAGGCGTCATGAAGGCGTCACGATGTAAACCATTCAATTTTGAATGGTTTACGGGCGTCATAAGGGTAAATTCAGAGGGCCAGCGTCATAGTTTACAAAACGATTATTTGTGTCAAAAGCATCAGAGGAACTAATGTAAATCTTTCAAAAATATTGATTGAGTTTTGAAATTAATATAATTCACAATCTTCATTTTTAAATTGAAGTTTAACCCATTCAGGATTTAAACAATGTTTAATTAATCGCGGAATATCTGACATCATCTATATATAGCATCTTTTATAAAAGATAAAAAAATAAATTATTTTAAAATTAATGTTAATTTTTTTAATGATTTATAAATAAATATATTTTAAAATTAATGTTAATTTTTTAATGATTTATAAATAAATATATTTTAAAATTAATGTTAATTTTTTAATGATTTATAAATAAATATATTTTAAAATGTGTTTAGTATATAATATTTATTACTAATTTATTTAATAATGTCACGCTTTCTTACGAATTCATGACTTAAAAAACGTAAGAAAAAATTTTTATATCATCTATATATAGAAGATGTGAAAATATACCTTCATCTATATATAGACGTAACAAAAAAAGTCACTAAACCCTTCAACATATACTACTACCAAAGTTTTAGATTCTCAGAGAGCAAATTGTTGCCTGCGAAGTACTGGCTCTAGTCCAGCCCCTCGTAGGCCAAAATCCAATTTCTTAAGTCATTTTTATTTTTTTCTTTTCTATCTCAAAAGTTTCTTCAATTTTTTGTTTCATAATTTACAAATTCTCAATTTTTTCACTGAGCTTATGAAAATCATTATGAAAATTTTTATTCCATAATATTATCTATAATATCATATAAAACAACAAATAAATTTTTGGTCACTTTTTACTTCCTCGACGATTCCTCATATAAAAATATCTGACATTTATTTCGTGACGCTCACCCTCTGAATTCTTGCCTTATGACGCCATAAAGTTTTCAAAATTGAATGTTTTACAATATGACGCCTTAGTGACGCCAACTCTCAAAATTCCCTTTGAAATTTGGCAGTTAAAGCAAAACCTGAACGTATTTGATGGTTAAAGAAAAAGATCATATAAGAGATTTTCTATTCTTAATGGTTACTGGATATATATATATATATTTTTTTTGGCTTCCTTTCTTGTAAGTAAACTAGGGTTTGGTCTGAAAATTCCATTGTGTTACCCAATGTTGGATTTTGACAATAATTTTTACATACAAGATGTTTCCTCACCCACCCCCTGCCTGACATGTAAAACGTGTAAACACTTGGCTGTCAGTGCTCGAACCTTCGAGTTTTCTCCCCTTGTCAAAAGTGTAAACGTTATTTTTCCATTCTTCTAAAACACATGAATTTCTCATTGATATTTCATTTGACTATGACTTCAAAAAAAATTAATTACCGAGAGTTAATTAAAAAATTTCATATTTACTCTGCATAAGAAATATATCTATCAAAATATCTTTGAAAGAAAGCTTAATCTCAAATGTTTCTCCTTGTTTTTCTTCGTTTCACTCTGCGGTATTGCATTGAATAATAATCTTTGAGTGGAATTTCTCAAGAAGTCGATTTCAATCCATCCTGAAGATTATAAATTTAATCAAAGCATATGAGAAGATTTATTCAGACAATAAAGAAATAAAGAATTACTTTGGTGCCGGGCCAAGCTGTTGAACAATCCATGGATGGGAACGGACCTGAGAAAGTGGCATTCTCTTAGCTGGATCCTTCTGGAGGAAACGTAAGATCAAATCGCGAGCAAGAGGGGTAACAAATGATGGGAAGCGGATATCAACATTAATGATACGACGGCATGTGTTGCGTTGAGAGTCTGTCTCAAACGGTGGCTCACCTACCAAGAATTCGTATAAGAGGACACCAAGGCTCCAAATATCAACAGAGTTATCATGATCATAACCTTCAATCATTTCTGGTGGAAGGTAGTCAAGTGTACCGCAAAGAGTTGTACGACGGGATGTTGGAGCATGAACTGACCAGCCGAAATCTGCGATTTTGAGTTCTCCGTTCAATCCGACAAGAATATTTTCTGGTTTGATATCACGGTGGATAATGTGCTTTGAATGGCAGTAATCAATAGCATCACACATCTGAACAATGTATTCAGCTGCTGTATGCTCGTCAAATCTGCCTGCATCGCGGAGAATAGAAAATAACTCACCGCGAGCAGCGTATTCAATAATAAGATAGATTCTTGTAGCATCATAAAAGTATCCATATAGGCGGATGATATTTGGATGACGAAGATGAGACTGGATTTCGATTTCGCGACGGAGCTGATGCTCAATAGAAGCCTTTTGAAGCTGAGCTTTGTTAAGAACTTTGATGCCAACAATGAACTTAGATTTAGCTTCACGAGCGAGGTAAACTCGTCCAAATTTACCTGTACCAAGTGGGCGACCAATCTCAAAATCGTCAAGGGACCACTTCTTTACTTGTGAACGACTAGCCTGACCATTCCTGCGTGGTGATTTAGCAATTGGAGTGTTGGACGGGGAGATATTTTCCTTGGCAATACTCATGTATTTATGATGTCTAAACGTATGATTTTCAAAATTCAACTCCTCTCAATTTTCTGACATATTTTATCCTCGATCATTTTCAGAATTCTTGAGTATCATTGTGAAAAAACAATGACCTGAATTTATTCATTGTAAAATAAGATTTTAAATCTAATAAAGCCGATTTTTTAACGGCAAACCCAAATTTTAGCTAAAAGTGACAGGGAAAAAAAACGTTTAGTATTAAAAAAAAGACCGATGAGAGCTTCGTTCGAAATATAGAGGGAACTGAGAATGCGCAACCATTCTCAGGGAATATTGGATGCTATTCCCGTTCCCTCTGTATGGAAAATTGAGGTTTTCAAAGGGAGTTAAAATAATATCAAATTTATACTAATTTACTTCAAAATACAAAAGTATTTGACAGCTAAAATTAGTTACTTTAGCAAGCCTATCAATACCCTTTTATGATTATTGCTACTTTTTCGAAATAAAAGTAAAAACAAATTTATACTAATTTACTTCAAAATACAAAAGTATTTGACAGCTAAAATTAGTTACTTTAGCAAGCCTATCAATACCCTTTTACGATTATTGCTACTTTTTCGAAATAAAATAAATTTATTATCAAAAACCTTTTTTTTCTTAGTAAAAATAAACGAAATTTTTTACCTTATGAACTTTTGATGGAAATATGCAAATTTAAAATAATAAAGAAAGCCGCGAGCGAAGCGATCGGCTTAGTTCGAAGATTTTGATTCAAATCTTTGCTGATCTGTAATTCGCGGAAGCCGCGAGCGAATCGAGCGGCTTAGGTCTAAGATTTTGATTCAAATCTTTGCTTATATTCCTTAAATTCTTTATGAAACTCGCAACAGTTCCATAAAAAATTTTAAATTCTAAACTGTCGAAATTACCGATCGGTAATCACACCCTTCACGGATGTGTCACTTTTTACAGGTGTGTCACTTTTAGCTAAAATTACCCCTACTCTTTTTTAACAAAGATTTCACACAATTGTTCATTTATCATCATTTATTCACATAAATATCTTACCAAAATAATGTGTACTATCTAGTCCTTTATTCTGGATTAGATTACTATTAATTTACAAATTTCAAATTTCAATAATTTTTTTTTCTCACATAGAACCCACTAAATATAGATTTTTTCTTTGTACTTACATATATCTAAATACATTTCATATCAATAAGTAAGAGTTTTTTTAGTGTACGTTTAAAAATGAATGAGACTGATGAACGAATTGAACTTCTAGAAGAAATCCGAAAAACAAATATTATCCCAAGTCTAAAAACTCAATTAAAGATGGCCTTATGCGATAAACTTCGAAATCATAATAAAACAGAAATAATTAGATCGCAATCACGGCAATCCGAGATTATTGATAACATTGTTTTAGAATATTTATATAAATGTGGTTTTCATAGTACAGCAAGTATATTTTTTGCGGAATCCAACATGCATCAATTACCTCGAGAACAAATCTTATCTACAATGCAAGTTGTCGACACACAGCAAACTATAATGGAGATGCTTGTCTCAGACGAATCTCATCCCAGCATTTTAACGCAAACAGATTACCAAGATTTAGATTCAAAACTCAATTCAGTCGAAGAAGAACTTAGGAGAAAACGTAAATCCGAAAGGACATTATCATCAGAAGATATGCTTCGTCGTGGCATTGATGCAATCGATAATGAATATGAATTGCGCTTTCAAAAAGAACTTGCAAACAGAATGGATATGTGGCGTGCTTCTGAGTTATCGAAAGCCTTATCAAGTGATAAAATATATCAAGACAGCGAGCTAGAGAGAATACAGAAAGAGTTAGAAGTTAACTTACGCCAAAAAACCAATGAAGAGCGAAATAAATTTGATAAAACTTCTGAAGCACTTCATGCAAAACAACGTGAACTAGAAGCAGAAATTCAGAAATGGGCTGAACAAAACATTATCCGTGCTCGTGAGAACACTATGACAACAGAAGCAAGGGCAATCCTTCAAGACTGTGAGCAAAAAAGTGACAAGATTCAAGCAAAAATCGAAGTTCTTCAAAGAAAATGCGAAAAGGATCTTCGAAAACTCGAAGATGCTCAGCTTGAGCATAGGAAGTCCAAGCGTGAAGTTGAGAAACTAAAACTATCTATTCAGCTTTTAGATCAAAATTCGAGCTCAATAATTCAATAACGTTACAAACCAATTTTGTGATATTATTATTGTTTTTAAATTTATTATGCCAAAATAGTACTTTGGCTATCGTTGGCAATATGTGATGTTGCCATTGTTGTAATATTTCGAAAAAATAAAGGTATCAACTTTATTGTAAGATATGATGAGTTGAACATCGAATAATTGGATTTTTGCATCATTAATATTCTTTAGTCACTAGTATATCATTGTTTCATACTAATAACTTGGAATTATTCCGTTTGGACGGTGAGATAAAGCAGAAACATTTAATACATGCGTCACTTTTTACATCTAAATTATGAGTTCTCCTTTTAACGTATTTTCTGCTGGACCGCCTTTTTTTCGAAGCTTCTCAAGTAATTTTAAAATTCATTTCAGAAAAAAGGTAATCCATCAAATTTCAGACTAAATTTCTCCAAAAAATTTAAGTGGCCACTAAAAAGTGGGCGGCCACTTACGCTGTCAAAATTTTGAAATGTGCTATGATTGAAAGTTTCCATCTCATTTTTTAATAATGTCTGCTATTGGTATTGATCTTGGTACTACATACTCATGTGTCGGTGTTTTCCGTCACAACCGTGTAGATATTCTTGCCAATGATATGGGTAACAGAACAACCCCATCATATGTTGCATTCACAGATGATGAAAGACTTGTCGGTGATGCAGCTAAGAATCAAGCCGCTATGAATCCACAGAATACAGTTTTCGATGCTAAGCGTATGATCGGCCGCAAATTCTCAGATCCAGTTGTCCAGAAAGATATGAAGCACTGGCCATTCAAAGTTGTTCGCGGTGAAGGCGACCGTCCAAAGATTGAAGTACAATTCAAAGGCGAAACAAAGCAATTCTTCCCAGAAGAAATCTCAGCCATGGTCCTCGGCAAGATGAAAGAAACGGCTGAGAACATGCTTTCAGAAAAGATTACAGATGCTGTCGTTACAGTTCCAGCTTACTTCAACGATGGCCAACGTCAAGCTACAAAGGATGCAGGTGTCATCGCTGGCCTCAACGTCCTTCGTATCATCAACGAACCTACAGCCGCTGCTATAGCTTTCGGCCTCAACGAGAAGTCCGATAAGGAACGCCACGTTCTCATCTTCGATCTCGGTGGTGGTACATTCGATGTTTCCCTTCTTGATATCGATGGTGGCATGTTCGAAGTTCGTGCTACAGCTGGTGATACACACCTTGGTGGTGAAGACTTCGATTCACGCCTTGTTGATTACTTCGCAGATCGTTTCCAGAAGAAGTTCAAGTGCGATCTCCGCGAATCACCACGTGCTTTGAGAACACTCAGAACAGCTTGCGAGCGTGCTAAGCGTACAATCTCTACAGCTGCTAACGCATCCATCCTTTGTGAGTCTCTCTACCAGGGCCACGATTTCCAGGATACAATTTCTCGTGCTATGTTCGAGAACTTGAACGATGAACTCTTCAGATCCACACTTGGCCCAGTTGCACAGGTTCTCAAGGATGCAAAGATGTCAAAGTCCGATGTCACAGATATCGTTCTTGTCGGTGGTTCCTCACGTATTCCACGTGTCCAGCAGCTCCTCCAGGAGTTCTTCAACGGCAAGCAGCCATGCCGTGGTGTCGACCCAGATGAGGCCGTCGCTTACGGTGCTGCAGTCCAGGCCGCCATCATCAAGGGCGATAACTCCGATGCAGTCAAGGATATCTTACTTCTCGATGTCGCTCCACTTTCTCTTGGTATTGAGACAGCTGGCGAAATCATGACAGTTTTGATCCCACGTAACACAACAATTCCAGCCAAGAAGTCAAACATCTTCACAACATTCGCTGATAACCAGCCAGCAGTTACAATCAAGGTCTACGAAGGTGAGCGTACAAGAACACGCGACAACAACCTTCTTGGTACATTCGATCTCACAGGCATTCCACCAGCACCACGTGGTGTTCCACAGATCGAAGTTACATTCGATGTCAACGCTGATGGTATCATGAACGTTTCTGCTCAGGATAAGTCCACAGGTAATGTCAAGAAGATCACAATCAAGAACGACAAGGGCCGTCTTTCCCAGGCAGATATCGACCGCATGGTTTCTGATGCTGAGAAATACAAGGCTCAGGATGAAGAAGCCAAGAAGAAGATCGAAGCTAAGAACGGCCTCGAAGGTTACTGCTTCGGTGTTCGTAACTCTGTCAACGGCGAACTCGGCTCAAAGATTGCTCAGGCTGACAAGGATGCCATTCTCAAGATTGTCAACGACACACTCGCTTGGATCGAATCCAACCAGGACGCTTCAACATCTGACTACGAAGCAAAGCAGAAGGAAGTCGAAGGCCAGTTGATGCCACTCATGCAGAAGGCCTACCAGTCTGCTGCTGGTGGCGCCGGCGGAATGCCAGGTGGTGTTGACCCATCTATGTTCCAGAACATGGGTGGCGCTGGTGGTGCTGCTCCAGGTGCAGGTGCTGCTCACCCATCCTCTGGCTCTGGTCCACGTGTTGAGGAAGTTGACTAAGCTCTTTGAAATCTTTTTGTAAATAAATTTCTTTTTATACAAATATATCATTTTATTTTAGATTAAAAAAAAATTATTCAATTGATTAGGCAATTGAAATAAATGGTTAAATTATTACCTTTCATTCATTTGATACCCGCCCAAAACTTAATGATTTCTTTGAATGGAGAAAATTAAAAAAAATAAATAAAAATGGAGATGGGGGGAATCGAACCCCCGGCCTCAACTATGCTAAAGTCGCACTCTACCACTGAGCCACACCCCCTTTTCGAGTATTGCTCAAATCTATAATTACTGATAAGTTTAAATTCATCATTTTCAAAAAATCTACCAACTGAAATGAAGAGACTCTTTTCTCATCAGTAACTAGAGGCACTTTCAACCAGAATCTACTTTACAAATTCATCATCATATGTACAACATCAAAATTCAATATATTTATCTTATTGCATTGAAGACGATTCACCTCCTTCAATTTATCAAAGACATACTAGCTAATGCTCAAATTTCCTTATTACCTTAAATCAAACTCCCTGATATTTTCAAAATCATGATTTAGAACCAATTTCAAGTTTTTCTAAAACAGAATTCATGAATTTTGGATTCTAATTGTGAGGGATATTAAATTATAACTCTTATGTAATGTTTTTTAGTGCTTGGTCGGGCGACGATAGGAAAATGGCGGTTATGGTTATCCTTTTTCCTTATGCCAACTCGTTTCCATAAGAGCAGAAAACTTCGTGGTCAGGTTTCTATGGGTTTCGGCCGTGTCGGTAAGCACCGTGTTTCACCAGGTGGCCACGGTCGTGCTGGTGGTCAGCACCATCAGAGAACATGGTTCGATCGCTTCCACCCAGGCTACTTCGGCAAGGTTGGCATGCGCCATCTTCACCTTATGAAGAACCGCGCTGACGAGTATGAACCAACAATCAATGTTGACAAGCTTTGGACACTTGTTCCAGAAGAGGTCCGTGTAAAGGCTGCCGCCGCTAAGAAGGGAGATGCCGTTCCAGTTATCGATTGCGTCCAGAATGGTTTCTTCAAGGTTCTTGCTCGTGGTGAACTTCCAAAGATCCCATTTGTTGTTCGTGCTAAGGACTTCTCCGAGGAAGCCGAGAAGAAGATCAAGGCCGCTGGTGGTGTCTGTGAGAAAGTTCAATAAATACATACATTTATGAAAAACAAAGTTTATTACAAATACATTAAAAATTTTGAAGTTCTCTCTGAAAGAAATTGTCGTATATGATAGACATATACATTTAACAGCTATTATTAGCGATAAATTTTCAATTTTATCGTCTATATAATCTGAAAAATAGAATTTGAGTGTTGATAATCAGGAAATTGGACAAGCATTTTGTATGAATTCAAAAGCCCCTAACTTTTAGCCTTTGGAAAACATCAACTCATGAAGATTGTTAAAAGACGATATGCCTTGTTTGGCCGTGCAGTAGTCCCTTAAAAAATCAAGTTTACAACGTCACTTTTGATGGAAAAAGCTCCAAAAATTCTTAATCTTGAGCAGAAAATCATTTATCCATGTCCAAACCAAGAAGGAACTACAGCTATTGCTTCGATGCTGAAAAAACTTATTCGAGAAAAACAAGTAGAAATCGGAATTAACTCGACCAACAAATCTATTATTGAAAAGAAAGCAAAAATTGTTGTGGTTGCATCATGCATTAATCCACCATCACTTATAGATCATATTTTGTTCATGTGCTCAAAGAAAAATATTCCAATTATTTGCTGCTCATTAGATCCAAGAAGTTTAGGGAAAGAAGTTGGAATGAAGTCACTTACTGTTTCTTCAATTAAAGATTCAGCCGATAAAAGTATAATTAATCTATTAATGCCTTTTACTCAATTCATTCCAGAATCATCGTTCCCTCCGACATTTACTTAATCAGATTATTTTAATTTTATATCATTTTCAAATAATACACAAAAATTTTCTGAAGTTTAATTTTCATGACATCGAAATCATAGCAAATTCATCGGAAAATGCTTATTTTGTCAATAGGCACCATTAGCACTCGAAAGTCACTATGCAAAAAAGTTTTTTTTTTATAGAATTCTAAATCTAAAAGACAAAGCTACGTCTTCGATTATAAATAAAAATATATTTTTGCAATGAATTTTTTAAATGAGTATATATATATTTGAGTTCAACTGTTGCATCACAGAATTGGACAACTTCAAGTTTACCATTTTGTGATGCATTAACGAGCGGAGTAAATCCATAATTTGCATCCATTGCTACTACAAATCGCGATCATCATAATTTTATTGGCGTTACAAAAGCGGAATAAACTTGAAGTTAAGATGCATGAATGATTGGATTAGATCCATAATTTGTCTTTGCAATTGCACCTATTAATAGATAAAATAATAACTCTTATAGTTATTTCAGAGGTAACATTGTTGAATAAAAAAAATTATTAACTAGAAAACTGAGTTATTTATTCCGTTGAAAGACCTCTATTGAATAATTTAATCTGTGTGCTTAAGGTTGTACTTCTCACGGAGAAGGAGATCGTCTTGGATAGCCTTGACAACTTCGTCGAGATCTCTCTGAGCCTTCTCGAGGTTCTCAGCAGCGAGTTCGATGTACCATTTGATCTTTGGTTCTGTTCCTGATGTACGGATTGTTGCTGCTGTTCCGTTATCGAGGTAGAATGTGATCATCTGTCCAGACTGCTGTGGAAGGACTGGCTTGTGATCAGCTGTGCGTGAGTCGTATCCGAGTGTCATATCTCTAACACCTGTGACAGCGAAACGGCCGACCTTTTGGACGTACTTTCCATCTGGTCCAGATGTTCTCATGTGGACGAAGACAGCCTTAATGACTTCTGGATCGTGGCACATGAAGTATGAGTTGTTGAAGAGGTAGTAACCATACTTCTGGTAGATTTCATCGAGCTTGTCTGTGAGTGACTTCTTCTCGTTTCTCATGAGGTAGTGAGCCATTTCGATGACAACGGCTGTTGTTGAGATGGCATCTTTGTCTGGTGTGATTGATGGAACCATTTCGAAACCAATGGCTTCTTCGAAGGCGAGGAGTGGTGTAACACCTTCTTCTGCTGCCTTGAGAGAAGCGTTTCCGAGCCACTTAAAGCCAGTGAGTGTTTCCTCGTACTGGAATCCTTCGACTTCAGCGATTCTCTGCTGCATCTTTGTGGAAACTGTTGAGGAAAGGAACTTGGCCTTAGAGCGGTCGCCCTTGAAGTGCTGGATGTACCACCATGTGAGGAGTGTGCCTGTGTGGTTACCGTGGAGGATGCGGAATGAGCCATCTTTCTGGCGGACGGCAATGCCAACACGGTCGGCATCTGGATCCTGGCAGATGATGAGATCAGCGCCTGTAAGGTTGGCACGGGCGAATGCGTGGCGGAAGACTGGTTCGCCTTCTTCTGGGTTCGGGAAGGCGGCTGTTGGGAAGTCGCCATTGCCTTCGCACTGTTCTGGAACTGGGATTGGGAGTGGAAGGTTGAATGTGTGAAGAGCCCAAAGAGTTGGTTTGTGGCCAACACCGTGCATGGCGGAGTAAACAACGCGGAGGCCGGATGGCTTGTTGTTCTCTTCGTAGTGGAAGCAGAGCTTCTCGCGAATCATTTTGTTGTAAGCGGCGCGAACATCTTCGAGTGGATCAACACAGAGTGGGGAGTCTACGAAGAGGGATTGGTCGAATCCTTCCCATCTGATGAGGTTTTCTTGGATGGCCTTGGAGATTCCGGCATCGTGTGGTTCGATGATCTGGGCACCGTTCTCCCAGTAGACCTTGTAGCCGTTATCTGTGGCTGGGTTGTGGGAGGCTGTAACCATGACACCACCAGCAGCCTTGAGGTAGCGGATTGCGAAGGCAACGTATGGTGTTGGGATGATTGTAGAGAAGAGGTAGACTTTGATGCCCTTCATGAGGAAGATAGATGCTGTGATTTCAGCGTACTCGCGAGAATACTTACGAGCATCGTAACCAATGACGATACCGCGTTCTTTCATTGTATCGATGCCTAATGTGTCGATGCAGTACTTGCAGTAGCCTTGAGCTGTTTGGAGAATAAGACCTGGGTTGATTTGTGTGTAGCCTGGGCCTGTGCGTCCACGGATACCAGCTGTACCGAATGCGAGACGTCCTCCGAAGTACTTCTTGAGTTCAACTTCGTTATCAAGGATTGCCTTGATTGTTTCCTTGTACTCTGGAATGCTTTCTACTGTGAGATATTCCTCTGCAGCTTTGCGAAGAGCAGACATTATGAAAAATGAAAAAAACGATGATCACCTCATCCTCTCAATTCAAAATTCATAAAAACGACCAATTAACTCATAAATTGTCGATTCTCAAAAATAGTCAGTGGAGATGATTTTTACTACGAAATCGGTTAGTATTTCTCGGTGTATGATTTGGGAAATCTCACGACAAAATCGATAACTTATGAAAAAATTTTGAATAGAGAAACAAAATCTTAATGAACAAAAAGACCATGCACATACTGAGTAACCTAAAAACCAAGTTTATTTCTTTTTCCTCAAAAAAATTGGCACATTTTCAAACGCTCATATTGAAAAATGATATGGGTCCTCTGAACCATCTATACACAATTTGTTGTTCATTAACATGAATGCATGCATTAATTATATAAGGGCATATTAAATAGCTTGACTATGCATCACTTATCCTTCTATTTAGAAATACAATCTCTTTTTCTACAAATAAAAGATGCCACTTCATAACACGTAGATATCACATCATGTGTAATATGTTTACGCGCTTTATTTTTGTTATATTCATATATGTTAGTTGTTTACAATCTCATTATATAGATAACTTTCATGAATCATGAATCAAATCAGTATTACTGGGTTATATTTATGATGTAGATTATCGTTTTATAGTCTCTGAAACTGCATTGTCGTAAGAATATTGAGGGAAAAAATGTTAACCATATGTGTTTCAGCAAAGATTGGCAAATTCATTATTTTACAACGAATACTATAAAACTTGATAATAAGTGTTATTACCTTTATCTTGATTATCAAGCAAGATTAATTCTTCTACTAACATTGAGGTTTAAAACTATAAATCAGTTAATGATATTTCACACTATATACTGTTGTCTTTGAAATGTCTAAATTTTAAGGATTTGGATCTATACACCTCTTTTGATGATTTTACAGGCGTGAATTTTTTGACATTTTCCACTATTGAATTTATTTGCCCTATTTATAGATGTATGTGATTGAAATGATAGTGTAAATGCTTTATATATTCATTTATCATGAATATTATTCTCTATTTCTTATAAAACCTTCGAATTATTCAAAAATAGCTCAATCAAACATAAACCATACCATGACAAAAGGAAGAATGTAGTCCAAGTGAATTGGACAGCTATTTCGTCGTTCTTTTCTTGTTTATTATAGTGGTCTGTAAAAATAATTTTATATATATGAATGAATTGCAAGAACCATATAAAAGTGCAGTAGATTTATCATTGTTACTAGACTATTTGATAAAAATCAATATGTGAGCTTTATTATTTGTATTTTAGATATGGATTCGATAACAATATGATTGTATAAAGTATCTTTAATTTAATCATTAGGTATATGAGTGGCACTGCATATGATGCAGAAGGCAGAGAGAGTTAATGCATTTCAGGTCACACATGTTAATAAATCCTAGTGTTTATTACGATTTATCATTTTCAGACATTTCTAGCAATTTCTAAAATAATTTTAAAATTTGTTTAAGTTAGTTCAAAATTGGCTTTGATACTATACTAAATTCATTAGGACAATTGGTTAATACATATAATTATTAATATCGGTAAGATTTTAATAAAATTGTTTTTATTAAGTATATTCATCGAGTGGGGGACAAACTCGCCCATTGTCACTTTTTCATTAACCTTAAACTTGTAATTTTCATTATTTTTAATTAACCTTATTTCTTTCCCAATTCCTGATTTATTTTATTCACTTACTATTAAAAGTCACATTTTAATAAAATATAATAATTTATTTATAGCATTTTTTACTATACTGTAATAAAAAATTAATTATAATAAATTAAATGTTTATTAAATCAAATGTTTTCTTTGCAATAATATTTTTAATGTTGAGTAAACAATGTTGGGATCAAGTGTATCATTTTTCAGACCTTTCTGAACAGCTTCAAGCATACTGATGCATTCGACTTTTTTAAATTGTGTCATTTCTTCGAAATCTCTTGTGACTTTTTTGATAACTTTAACACTTCTCTCTGAATCCAGACCTTTAATTTGCAACTTAATCAGGAATGAAGGAACAACACTGGAATATAACTCGATGACAAGTTCATCGAGTCGAAGATTTGGTTGTACACCACTTGTATGTGCCGGATACCATTGTGTCAAATTTTTTCTGAAATTAACTTTAAAAGTACTAAGTAAGATCATGAGATATAGCAATATATGTTTAAACCAACTTATATTTTGGTTGTACACCACTTGTATGTGCCGGATACCATTGTGTCAAATTTTTTCTGAAATTAACTTTAAAAGTACTAAGTAAGATCATGAGATATAGCAATATATGTTTAAACCAACTTATATTTTGGTTGTACACCACTTGTATGTGCCGGATACCATTGTGTCAAATTTTTTCTGAAATTAACTTTAAAAGTACTAAGTAAGATCATGAGATATAGCAATATATGTTTAAACCAACTTATATTTTGGTTGTACACCACTTGTATGTGCCGGATACCATTGTGTCAAATTTTTTCTGAAATTAACTTTAAAAGTACTAAGTAAGATCATTTATTTTTGCATAATATAATGCCAATATGGTTTCTTTTGATTTTATTTCATTTATAAGCAAATCAGATTTACCCAAAAACTCCACTCCATAAGCGTTCATTTGCTAAATTAAAAAGTGACAATGGGCTAGTCTGTCCCTTTCTCATATTCATCCAATTATTTTAATATTTTCCACTACAAGCACACTGTTTAGAATTAACTGTTAAAATTTTAAAAGATAACTCCAAGATTTTTTTTAGTAGTAGGATAGGAAGGGTTGTGTGACTTTTTTGTAAACGTAAGAATTCATGCAATATCGAGCGATTTTGTATCATTTTTTTTAACATATGAAGTAAAAAATGTATGATTCTGACGGTTTTTATTCTTACGTTTTTGAATAAATCAAGATTTAAAAAATTTTCAAAATTGTAAGACATTTACACTCAGCCCATACATAATGAAATAAAAAATAAACACATTAAAAAATTAACATTATTTTTAAAAATAATTTATTTATTTTATCTTACATAAAAGAAGCTATATATAGATGATGTCAGATATTCCGCGATTAATTAAACATTGTTTAAATCCTGAATGGGTTAAAGACCTCATAAACGAGTAAAAAATAAACTTCAGAAAAAATTAAACGCAAGACTATCAAAAGATAGAGTTGAAAGAGTAAATAAACTCGCTAAAGGTAATGGTAATGGTAATGATGAAGATGAATTTGATGAGTTCAACATTGAACTTTAAGAAACTAATGATTATTTGAATTTATGATATCAATTATCTGATTTATTCTTTCTTCAATCTCTTCTATTCTTTTTGTTAAATCATCAATTTTCATTAATGAGGTGATTCTTGATTGAGGAATAGATTTCAAACTAATCACTCCTTTTATTTTTGAAATTTTGAATCCATCAACTTTAAACATTTTATTCAATTTACACGTTGTCAATTCTTCAAATAATTTTTTATTATTAGCATAATAGTCATTAAATTCTTCAACAGATGAAAAAATTTTTATTTCAGTAATTGGTTTAACAACATTTATTTTTTGTTGAACATTTTCACTTTCATTTATTTCTTCCTTCTCTGTTTCATTTATTTTTAAAATTGGTTTCATTTATCATTAAATAAAAATTAGAATATAAGTGATGAAATATATTTTATGTCTGTAATTAATTAGGTAATGAAGTAATGGATGAACTGCAGAAATAATGTTTACGTTAAGCCGCAAACGGTAGTGACAAAGTCTCATGTTTACGTTAAGTGACTCAAAGAGTCCGGAGACAAAGTCTCATGTTTTTAGGTTATTCAATAATTAATTATTTTTGAAGAACTGAAGGTGCTACCATGTTACCATGTGCTACCAGGTTAATTAACTTCTCTGAAAAAGTGTGACAACATGACATTTTGACAACAACACAGGAGGAAGGTATTTATGAATTATTTTTGAAGAACTGAAGGTGCTACCATGTTACCATGTGCTACCAGGTTAATTAACTTCTCTGAAAAAGTGTGACAACATGACATTTTGACAACAACACAGGAGGAAGGTATTTATGAATTATTTTTGAAGAACTGAAGGTGCTACCATGTTACCATGTGCTACCAGGTTAATTAACTTCTCTGAAAAAGTGTGACAACATGACATTTTGACAACAGTCCTGGAAATATATTTTATCGTAAATGTTTTGTCATGATTTCATCGTATATGTTTTGTCATGATTTCATCGTATATGTTTTGTCAAGGTTTCATCGTAAATGCTTTGTTATGATTTCATCGTATATGCTTTGTCATGATTTCATCGTATATGTTTTGTCATGATTTCATCGTATATGTTTTGTCAAGGTTTCATCGTAAATGCTTTGTTATGATTTCATCGTAAATGCTTTGTCATGATTTCTTCGTATATGCTTTGTCAAACATGAACGTATATGTTTTGTCAAAACTTCTTCGTAAATGTTTTGTCAAGGTTTCATCGTAAATTGTTTGTCATGACTTCATCGTATATGCTTTGTCAAGGTTTCATCATATATGTTTTGTCAAGACTTCTTCGTATATGTTTGTCAAAACTTCTTCGTAATGAGTGTAAATGACCCAAAAATAATGTTTAGGTGAAGAGGTGAGATCTAACCTCATTTCTACCCTCTTTTTCTACCCTCTTGAATTTTCATACGGAATCTCTTCCCTCGGTTTTCCGAGGGAAGCAATCATATGAGGAAATTCTTCTAAAAGTTCTTTTGTCTGTTGGTTTTCAAACCAATGATATGCTTGCTTTGTAGAACGAAGAGTATTATAAGGCATTTTGTGAAGAATATAGCAATCGCCGGAATTCAGACGGTTGCTTTTTATACAAAATTTACACAGGAAAATTCTTGAGTTTTGGTTGAAAGAATACGGTCAAGCCAAAAGTGGCTCAACCTCAAAACAAACATTTTGTGAGCTTACTAAGGCGTTATGAATGA